ATTTGGATAATAATATAATAATTTGACTTTATTCTTTGTACTGTAAGTTATGTTTAGTGTTTTGTTTTACAGTATGTGTGTTTAYATGCTCATTTTATTGCTTAAAATAATATTGTGTATGCATAAGGTTCATGTGTGAATTAGAAATTTAAAATAAATGGAAATTGAGGTTTACTCATCTTTGAAAATTGAATTACATGTAATTTGATTGTGCAAACGATTGGGTTGAAAAATAAGCTCCTAATGTTTTTCAAAGTGGGGTTTTACATCTGGTTCAATATATTGTAATTTGTACATTGACTTTTCAATATTTTGTATTTACAATTACCAAGAAACCAAGATTCAAGTCAAGTGCTGTTATAAGGCTTTGTTGCCATGCAACAATACTTGAATTTCTCATTTGYAATTATAACAGTAATGGCRGTGAAGAGGATTTGTGATTTTCTTTAAGGCAATCAAGGCTTTGTCTTGTCAAAATTTATTTTTATTYAAAAATATTCAGATTATGGAGGATTTGTGAGATTATGGAATTCAAATCCAAACATGTTGTGAGACTTGTCAAAAACTAAATCATCTTGTATTTACTTCCCATTGATTGTACAATATATAAAATACATATAATATCTCTGATATACACGAGTGACGAGTTTCAATTAAATTTGTTTATGATCAGAAAATCCAAACATTTTATGATCAAATAATTCCAGTGACTCAATATTGTGACCACATTTTAAACTATTATAAGAATTTCATTTCAAAATRTTTGTGCTAGCTACAGTAAATATGTTTGTTTTTATGATTTTATTTATGAATATGTGGGTTGTTGTTGAAAATTCAATTGAAGTAGAGGTTTCTGAAGGTTCCAGTGGTGGTCTATTTTTAGAAATTCGGTGAAAAARGGGAAATTGTTTAAAATGTTTTGGGACATTGTTGAAATGAGAGCATGACTTTTGTACAGTTATTGAGTTTGCTATTTTTTTTTTTTTTGCTATTATTTCAGTTTTTCTTTAACTCTGGGAAGTACCTAGTATGCGATACTACAGAAAAGCAAGAACCAAAATCCTGGTTAAGAACTGAATTTATTGAATTCAATGGCGCTAAGCGTGTGTTCATTTACATTAGTTACACCATCAGAAAATGTAAATCAAATTCTAAATACTGCAAAGAACAGTTTAAACTTTACACAGCACAAACTAGCAAGTCTGCATCAAGTCCTAAACCTCCAAATGGATTTGAGGAAATTGCAGTTGCAAAGCCTACAAACCTCAAAGATGGAGTACCAGATGAAAAGGACGTTATTGTGTTGAATGCAACAATCAAAGCAAAGATGGRTGGATTTTAYCTRGCTTTSTTGGATCAAGGTGTATGTCTCACATTGTACAGCATCAAAGTCATGTACTACTTTTGTTCTGAAAGAGGAAAATATCTTGATTTAGTCAAGTTTCCGAAAACAATATCTCCAGCTGAAGACATTGTAGGATCTCAGGGTCAAGTCCATGGATCTTGCTCAGATTCAAATGCTAAAAATACAAGTGAATTACTRGGTGTTTGCACTACCAAAGGAGTGTGGAAAATGAATAGTCATGTCAGGTGCTTGTGCAAACCGGGTTATGGTTATTTGACAACTCCTACAAAGAAATGCCAAGGTGTGTTTGAATTCTACTGATTATTGATAAGAGTCTCATCTATGTCTTTTGTTGTGCAACAAACATTGAAATCTTCTGGCAATGTTTGAAATGTCACCCAGGTTTCTATCCTTTAATGGAGCATTTATCTTTGTGCATGGACCACATCTGTTTCATCAATAGAGCTGACACACTTTTTCCCAATTCAATTCACCTTTGTTGAAAATAATGATGTTGATTTTGTCATTTAGCTTGTGGGTCTGGGCAGTACAAGAGTTCTCTTGATAACAGTGTGTGTAAGACCTGTCCTATTGGCTCTTTTCCCTTTGCACAGAAGACAGAGTGTAGATGTAAGTCTGGATTGTTTAGGATGAATAAAAAGAACAGTGAACCATGYTATGGTAAGTGATATACAAGTTTTGTGAGGAAACCAGCCTCATAATAATAATAATTATTCATTTATAATCACAATTATTTTAAAGTCTTTAAAAGTGATATTCCTGCTCTAATCTCACCACCATGTGCAAAATCAGTGTAAGTGTTAAATTGTTTGATAGTTGATAGCAACATTTGTATTTGTACAGAATTAGGCAAGCACACCTCACTAGTGGTGTATTTCCAGGTAGTGGGGAGGGCTTCCTCAATTCTGAAGTCTAGAATGATGGGATCTTGGGATTTATCTTCTTCAATSCAAGAGCATAAGTCAAAGAGAAAGTAATAAAACACACATTAGTGTCTTGCCTAAGGGTGTAACATGGTTAGCCTGTCTGGGAATGAAAGTTACACAAGCATGGCATCTAATTTACTAACTACCACAACATTATGTCYCTCACACAAAGAACTACTGGTACTTGTACATGTACTAAGTAGCTAAACTTGGTAAATTGTTATTTTTCAGCTGTTCCTGATGGTCCTAAATATGCCAATGCAACAACATGGAATAGCACATCTATCCGAGTGTCATGGCCTCCACCAAGTGACAAAAGTGTAACCTTCACAATTGAATGCTTTGTMTGTAAAAATGACAAGGATGAAGAGTGTGTTGAACCATGCAATAAAAAAATCATMTATCACCCTGGTAAAATTGGTCTTAAAAGTAGAGTATCTGTATCAGGATTGAAGTCTAGCTCAAGATTCAAGTTTCAGATCTTTGGTGTTGCACTTTTGAATCAGAAAGTYGAGAAATCTGAGTGGAAGTATGTTGTGGCTTTTGGAAAGACAAAGAAAGGTTAGTAGATATATTCTCTAATAATCACCTTCATTGAATATCCATGCAAGCACCATTTTAAAAGTTCAAAGCTGCACCTGAACAATACATTGATCACCTGAAATATTCACAAGCGGTCTTGCTTTGATGCAAAGGCATGGTTATGTTTACTTTTAAAATGGTGCTTGCATGTCAACTACCTTTCAATTTGGCACATAAAACTGTGCAGTTCACCTTTGATCATAGGGTAGACAGTCTTATAGTAGATGTAGATGACACTACAGTTATTACAGGTTGTAGATAGAGGATATTGAATTGGATATCTCAAAGAAGGTATGATTCATACAATAAATTATGTATAGTGATGAAGCCAGACTAGAAACTGAAAATAAATCTGCCGGTGGGAAAATCATTTCCTTATTAGCAAGCTCAATTACATGTTTATGTAGAAGGTGCAGGTAGCTGAATACACTGAATAATTATAAGGTGGTAGTAATTGAAAGTGGAAAAGCAAATAAAAAMAGTAGTTAAATCTTAGCATAATAAACAAATCAAGAGGAACTTATTATAGGTGTAATTACACACAGTATGATGTTTTTCTACATATTGTTTTGGATAKAGACTTATTTCATTATTACCTATTATGATTCCTATGAGTTTGACATGAGTATACTCCACTATAAATCAATCCAAAATGATTACTGCTGCTGTTGAACTACAGCTGGTACCTTTTGAGGTCTGTTTCGAAAGTTAATGATTACCAGAGAACAGTAAACTGTTTCGTTATAAGAATCGTAGTTTAGTAGGAAGTAGAACCAAAAATAAAACCGCTGATAATGCACTTTTTCTCTAAACCACATCAAATCAGTGCTCAATATTTTAAATCAGTAGTACGTACTGTAAATGATTATCAAAATTTAGTTGTAAATTTGAGCTGGTAGATATAGCTAGAATGATGTCTGTATYTTATTTTGATTWAATTATTGGTGGTTACACTTGTGKGCCAGKTTGTTCAAAGCCTGATTAGCGTTAATCTAGGGTTAACTCCGTAGATTTTCWAAGAGTTAACCCAGGATTAGTGCTAATCAGGCTTTGAACAACCTGGCTGTGGGCTTCAAGTTRCAACTCCCTAATTTGAATTTTTTTTTAAATCTGCTTTTTCTGTTGGTCGTGATATTGAGCTAGTATAATCTGGAAGCAGTTTATTAGTAGATACATGTATGTATTATATTGTATGAACTTTTCAGTGTGTGAAAGGTATATACAATTTAGTGGGTGTTGTTTTTTTGGATGTTGTTTTGAAAAAGGACTAAGAAGTCATCTTTTAATAGAGTTATGAATAATGAAAAAGACTTACAACATGAAAAACAATTGAACTATAGTTAATATTTAATTCTAAAGGTATAGCTATAAATAAGTTTATAATATCAAGTACACTCTAACAAATGTTTATAGCTCAGAATTGATTGTTTTGTGTTGTTTGAAAAGTACATGTACSAGTTTTAGAGTAGATCAGATTTGAAAGTGTATTTATCATTTACTTTTGTTTCCTGTTGATAAGTGGCAGTAATCATTGTGATGACAACACAGATAAAACAATGAATTTATTACTTTCAATCCTTACCATGTGATGTCATGGCGATGTCACATGATGTCAAAAGAATCACGATCGAAGAAAACTAATTTTCTTGAATTAAAGTTTTAAACAAATTTTGTCAATTCATCAATGATTTGATTTATGTGATTTTAAAGTCAGTTTTGCTTTGAGAGGGCACCAAGTGTTCTTGTAAGCTTGGCAGGCTAGTAAGATTAATAATCCTAATTGAATGGGACATATCATAATGCTGTATATTAATAGCAAATGACATTGTCCTGTCATTGACCCCAATACAAATGCCAGGAATGCAGTTTTGTCTACTTAAMATTTCTGTGGTTTTGACAATAATTTCACTTTCTGGATGAGTTTTGTTTAGGAAATGACTGTGGTTTCTAAAGCTATTTTGTTCTTGTTAAATCTGTTGCTCTGTGTTTCCTATAAACTGAGTTAATAAGACGATTGTTCAAATGTGTTGTATAGAGATAAGCAGKATTGATGTTCATACTGATAGTACATGAAGGATTTTCATGAGTTAAGTCATTTTCTGAGGCACATTTCAAAGCTGTTAGTATATCCATATGCAGGTACATGTAACTTAAAATCATTGAAAATGTTTTCAAAAAAGTGCTCAACATTGTCAAGGAGTATTATATAAAATAAAATTATACTTAAAGACTAGAATGATTCATTGTTTTATTGCTACAAGCTGGTTTCGTATGGGCATCAGAGATGGCCACACTCGTCAGGCAAGTTACAATGAATGAATGACCGTTAAAGTTTGCTGGTGGTTTAAAAATGCTATCTAGTTTACATCCAGTAGAGTTATATTACATGGTTTCTTAGTGTGAATCTATTTCTGTGTTGACATTGGCTTGCTAATTCGTAATAGACAAAACGAATTAGCCAGGTACATGTATGTATACATTACAAGTTCTTTAATTTACGAGTTTAGTTAGGCRAGTAGCTAATATAGCAGTTACATATTATAAGAAAGAAATATAGTTGTAGAAAATACTTAAGACTGACATATGTTACAAATAAGTGATTATTATACTGAACATGTTTAGTGTTGTGTKGGTGARTGATCTGTTATATATGTAATTAAAATGTCTCATTATTCTTCATTGGTTCATTTTAATTTGATCTAGAACAATGATTGAATTATAATAAGTGGGCTCTGGGGCTGGCATCTCTTAATGTAGGTGATGAATGTAATAATTATTGCATCTTTCCGTTAGGTGATGTTTAGCAATACGTCATGTATATGCATTTAACATGTATGTCTGGTAAAAGTGCACTTAAAGTCAATGACACCATGACTGCACATGCCATAACAGCATGTTACTGACACCACAAATTATAACCTAAAAAGCTGTTTTTTATTAAGYAAAGCATTGATAAAAAGTATTACATTTAGAAGAATAATTGGATTAAAAAGTTATACCATTAATTAATTACGCTAGGATYAAGACTGTCAAAATAAAAACATTGTTGAAATATCTATTGAATAAGGTCAGTATGGACTAGAGTTCATGAATTTATGTAATAACTCTGATCTTTTTTCATCTTGTATGGTTTGAATATGGTTCAGAAAAAAAGCAGGGATTTGCATTAGAATTTCTGTTGAGAATTGATGTCAAAAATGATAAAAATAATGCAGATTTGAATCAGAAAGTAGGAAGTAAAACAGGAAATGATGTTTTTTTTGTTTTCTTCATTTTACTGGTAGCTTTACTTCKATTTTAATCCTTGGCTAATATGTTATCGTGAAATCTCTTTTAAAAGATGATCTGTAAGATTAAAATAAAATGTCCTTTTTTTAGAAATGCATGTTAGTAAGTCATAATACACTAATGGACAGCACCCACAAACACAGCTTAAGCATTAATAATTAACATCCAGGAGGTTTGTTTTCTTTCTGCCAAAGGTGGTAAAAAAACACTTTCGCTAAAAATATAATTCTAGTTAATATATAAGAGATTGTTTCATGGTAAAATGAYTTCATGAAGTATTTTTCCTTGAAGTAAAAGAGTTATTGTATTGTGAAATAGATTAAGAATGTTCTTGTACAATATTTTCATTCTTTGTGTACAAGTGCATTAATATATGAATCCATTTGAACTCATAACAGACAACCATTTGAAATCATAACAGACATACAAGACAAAGAATTAGTGTTAAATATAAAGTTCATCTTGTAACCTAGTGGTCGTGTGTATTGTAGCATGYACACATGAAGGTTGGGAAGACCACTTAAGCACTATTAACCCATTATGTTATTAAATCTAAGTGTTTTTCCCTCAGGGCAATATTTCACAGTGTAATGCTCACTGTTGGTCGGCAGGATGTATGGTTATGTGAATTTCCCATGCTTATATGACCTAAGGGGATAGTATATTGTTCATCATTGCATTATTAGATTGTCAAATCTCATGAACCATGTGTTGTTCAAAATAGGACTTGTTATCTAGAATGATCTTTCKTTCAATGTAATTAGAATTGTGTATCTTGTGTTTATCCTGCATTACTTTATACTTAAGAACAAGACAGTACCACACTTGAAATGAAACATTTTATGGCATCAATTTAAATGACCACAGAAAACTTATCATACAAACAATATAATGAATGCATCTAGAGCAATATTTATTAATAGGGATTATATGATTTACTGTAAGTTATATAGATTGTCTGTAGATTAATATTAACACCAATAACTTCTGAAATATATATATTGGTTCCTAATCAAGTTGTTTACTTTGATTATTTAGAATTGGATGGCTGTTCCCTAGACATTATGTCTCCACCATAATGCCATACAATACCTTTGAACCCAAAATAGAACTGATAAAATCAGAGAGCAATTAGACAATAATCTATTTTCCTTACATTTCTTAGCTAATAATTATTAATAATTAATCAATTAATTGGTTATATGTATGTATGTTTGATTGATTTGTTATCAAGATGTTATTTATGTAATATTTATTTTTATTTGTTAATATTTAATATTTTTCTGCATTTCATTTTGCATTTTGAACAATTTTATCAAATTATTTTTTAACTATTTTTGTCCTTGATATAGGTCCCCCAGAAGCACCAAACACAGGTCAGTTTTCCATTAATTAAATCATCCATTTATTAAGCTATTAATTTGTCTTAATTCCAKCTGTTGTAAACAGCTGGAATTCCATCATTGTAAATCCATTTATTTATTCTTTTTTTCATACTCATTCTTTTTCCCATTGATTTATTGATCCCTCATTCAGTTCTCATTTTCTTTCCATTTTTATTCCAATAGTTACCAAAGCTGACAAGTTCAAAAAGCTAATGTTAACTGTTGTTGTTCCTGTGTTGGCCTTCCTTGTTCTTGTAATAATTATCTGTGCAGTTTGTTTATGCAGAAGGTAAGATCTTGCTAACATAAGGAATCAARTACAATCCAATTAATGTTAATCATGTATTGAATTACACTAGAGTAATGGTGACATTTTATAGATAATGTTACTGGGCTGCAAGTCAGCCTTAAGGCTAGCTTGGGTTGGTTTAATTTTCCATAAGCACTTAGTGAAGTCTCAATGGACATTGCCTATCTTGTTCCGAAACAAAACGTTTTTATATTTAAGCATTAGAAGATATTTTCCATGTTTCCATTCTCTGTTAGAAACACGCAGGTTTGTTGGGAGAGCGAAGTTATTAAAATAATCATGAGCTGAAATCATATCTCTCAAGAAAAGATGGGCGAACAGTTGATTGATTGAAAACCTTTTCTTGTGTACTCCCAACAATCCTGTGTTTTTCTAACAGAGAATAGAAACACAGAAAATATCTTCTAAYGCTTTTAAAAATATTAAAAATATTATACAATAAAGTGTATTTTACAAGTTCATGAAAGATTCTTCGATATTGTGTTACTGGGGAAAAGAACTGCAACAGTCAACATGTTTAATAAACATGTACAATGTACTTAGATTGTATTATGGTTGTAGATCTAACAGGAAGTATGCTACAAGAGTACCTGGATTTGATACCAGTGATACTCATGGTAAGTGTTTAGTTGGGGGATTATCAATTAGATGTGTAGACTGATGTGTAGTCTGATTAGATGGCCATGTCAAAAGTGTGGATAGGTTGAATGAATAATTTATGGGTTGATTGTTGGTTGATTCATTGATTCATTGATTAGTTGGCTGAGAGATTGTTTAATTGATTGAATGATTGATTAATTGATTGATTCATTGATGGGTTGTTTGATTGATTGATTGATTGAACCATCGAATTGATTGATTTAGCAGTTGTTTTATGTTATTTTAGAACTTCCAACCATTGGAGTAAAAGTCTACATTGATCCAACAAACTAYGACAACCCAGAAGAAGCTCTGAAAAATTTTGCTAAAGAACTCGATACTTGTTGCYTGACCCTGGAGAAGGTCATAGGCGGAGGTGGGAACCCTGTCTTGTATTGTGAACAGAATCTAAGCTTTCCATTGACTATACATGGATAATGTTCATTCATTCTTAGAGTATCACAAAATAAAATAATATTACTATATTGTTCTATATTATAATGCATATTTTTGTGTAATCATTAATATTAATTGATAATTGGTGTAATCATTAATATTAATTGATAATTGGATTGTGTTAAGGTGAATTTGGTGATGTGTATAAAGGTGTATTAAAGCGCACAGGAGAGGACCCCTTACCTGTCGCCATCAAGACACTTAAGGTAAAGTATACAACCATCTGCTTTATCAAACAGTTATTTAAGGTTTATATAGGTACAGTTTTCTGGTGTAACATTAAACTCTAGTTAAAGATTTTCAATATTTCATTAATTTAGTATTTTCTCTGTAATATGGTTGTAGTTATGTTAGTGCCCAGTGTGTTGATATCGGTTTTTCATTCTTGTTCTTTGCAGAAAGAATCAACAAAAAAGAACCGTGATGACTTTTTGCTAGAGGCCTCTGTGATGGGACAGTTTTGTGACCCTAATGTGATCTTCTTAGAGGGTGTCGTTACAAAATGTAAGTTTTATCTGTCACCTTCCAATCCACCGTTTTAATGATTAATTTCATTAAAATGAATTTTGTTTTGTTTGTTGACAGCAAATCCACTGATGATTGTCACAGAGTTTATGAGTAATGGATCCTTGGATAATTTCCTTAAAGTGAGTCAATATCTCATTCTTACGTTATCATGTCATTGCATATGGTTATAATCCTATCAAACACTAAAGTGGGTGAGGATAAAGTAAGCTTTAAGTAAATCCTTCTTGTAGACAACGCCTGGGTATTAGATTAGAGGTAATGAGAAAAAAAATAAAGGATTAAATAGATGGAAAGAAATAAAAAGGAATGAAAAGAAAACGGGATTAAAATAAATAATTTGATTGAAAAAAGGATGGAAGAATGATTAGGGAAATTTGGAAGAAATGAAATGAGAGAAAAAAAGCAAAAAGGGAAATTAAAAATGAGAGAGTAAACAAATAAGAGAAAGTGTAATGAAAAAGATATATCCTTAAAAAAGATGGAAGAAATASTCAGAKATTTTACACTGATTTTCAACACAAAGGGCGAAAAAAATTGTATTGAATAGAAYATGACGTAACGCTACATAATAGTCTGTAATTGCACTTTTTATTGTTTCTTCTTCATCGTCTAATGTACACGTTTTCATTGTTTTTGTTCAGGAAATGGATTCGAAGCTGAGTGTGCTTCAGATGCTTGGAATGGCACGTGGCGTTGCGTCGGGTATGAAGTTCCTGTCTGAAATGAACTTTGTGCATAGAGTAAGTGTTTCCTATTCTTTGTAACTTAAGTACCTACACTTGGGCACTTAACGGTACTTAACAATACAATTGACTTTGTTTTTAAGATAGTAATACTTAATAGTTTTAGGATCGATGATACCTTGGTCCTCTATTGATGGTTTTCAACCATTCCTATGAGAGTGATCAAAACAAAAAGGTCCACCAGTCAGCGGTGGTGGTTTTCTTTTGTCAGGTCCACCAGCAATGGCGGACATCTTTTGTTCAACTTTCTCTCCTGAGAATGGTTGAAAACCATCAATTAACGTGGCAAAATTTTTGGTTAAAAAAGAAACGTTTAGTTTTTTCTGTGTTCTCACTACTCCTTAATTATTTCCAGTATCCATAAAATATTCCTTCTTTTTTCCCTTGAGAAAACAATGCAAAAACTCGCTTKGGGTGATTGGGATTATATGACACTGGGCCTTAGAAATGCTTCTCACATTGGTATGGGAATGCTTATGTATCTTGAGTAATGATGTTGTTTTGTGATTATTGAAGGACTTAGCAGCGAGAAACATTCTTGTAAGTGAAACGTTGGTTTGTAAAGTCGCTGATTTTGGTTTGTCAAGAGAACTGGAAGATTCTGCTTATGAAACTAGAGTAAGTGACTCGAAACTATTTGGTTCCGCTCCATATTCGGTAGGGTTAGAATCGTTTTTGTTTGACCGTCAAACGAAAATAGCTATTCAGTTAGTATTTACAAAGAACAAAGAAGATAATAGCTTTAGAGTATGGTACCAGCTCTTAGCGGTTTCGCAAAGCTTTGAAGGTCAAATGAAAGCCACTCTGACAAGTACGATATTGAATGATATGGGACGAGTGATGTGGTCTATGATGTCATGATTATTGTCATGGTGATTCTACCATTGTGCTGATTATGATTCATATGTGCTGGTTTACTTCTATGGAGAGTTATGAATACGTTGTCGTCCAGATGATGCATCAGTAATTGACAGTGTCAATCAGGACGGTTGATTGACAAGTGATGTCTCTTTATACAGGGTGGTAAGATTCCCGTTCGATGGACAGCACCAGAAGCTATCAAGTTTAGAAAGTTCAGCACGTCCAGCGATGTATGGAGCTATGGTATTTTGTTATGGGAAATCATGTCGTTTGCCGAGCGACCATATTGGGATTGGAGCAACTTTGAGGTCAGTATTAGGGATTAATAAACTAATTGTGCAAGGATTAATACCGCTTGATTCTTATGCATTTGTATTCACAAGTAAATCTGCTTATTTTCAGGTCATGGATAGAGTAGAAGGTGGATTTAGGCTTCCTCCTCCAATGGTAAATTATATTCTGAGATATTTTGAGTACTTAGTTGTAAATTGCATTATAAAATATCCTGTTTATTTGCTGTCGTTGACATATTTTTTCTGTTGTCATGGCAGCAATGTCCAACCGCTGTGCATCAAGTAATGCTGGATTGCTGGAAAGCTGATCGAACTCAACGACCCAAGTTCGCCGCCATCAAGAACCATTTGGATATGTTAATCAGATCACCAGAAAAACTCAAGGAAAACATACCAATACAGCCAAGGTTAGTAGAAACTGATAAATTAACATGAATAAACTAAATTAAAAATAAACTAAACTGCATTAAAGTAAATAATTTAAAACGTCACCATCATCACTATCACAATCACAAGTACTAGCACAACACTACTTCACTTGAAATGGGTTTTTATGCCAACTTTTCTAATATAGTCAACCGAGTATCGACTATACCGACGTTACAACTATCGGGGATTGGTTGAAAAGCATCAAGATGGCGCAGTACACCGATAGGTTTGTCCAGGCTGGCTATAGTAACCTTAAAAACCTGGCAGAGTTTGAAGAGCCTGACCTCGATGAAATGGGAATCAAACTGATCGGCCATAAGAACAAGATCAGAAAAAGCATCCGCGACGTCCGGAAGAARCTGCATCGTGAGTCGTCAGTTCCGGTATAATGGTTTCTATAGTAGCGCTAGAGCAACCAATCAGACTGGGAGAAGCTTGTCTTGGGACATCCGGTCCGTGTTACGTACAAATCTAAACAAGAAGTCACCTTGGCAGCAAAAGTGGCGATTTCATTTTTTCAAGTACTGTTCTAAATATGGCAGTTGATATGACGTCATGAACTAAGCAACCAATTAGAATAGAGTATCAAAAGATGTCGTACGTACACACGAAGAACAGCATAACCTTGACCAACAGCGTGTGTGATATATCTCCAAAGAAATAAAAACTTACTTTATTTTGAACCGACCACTGGTCACGTGATGTCCAGGTTTTTTTGTTGTGATTTATGTTATGCTATTTAGTCGCTTTCWCAGCGTGTTTTATTATCGGGTTTCCTGTCTTGTAGAGTACAAAGGAAGCCCGTCACTAGCAAGCTTTAATGGAGACTATATTATCACACTATAAAGGAGTATTTTTTCAATAAGCCTGTTTGTAAATCAAGCTAAGCTTGCATTGTATAATTGCATTAATTTCCGTAGAACGACGAAATTATTTTAGATTTCATAGAAATACTATTTTTCGAGTACAAACAAGACACCTACAACAATTAGTGGTGTTATGAGAAGAGTTTGAGAGGATTGTTGCCATACTGTCCGGTGTATGACCGATATCATACTGTTATTGCACAACATTTTCAATATGTTTACTGATGATGATTTATTGATTGATTTCTAGCAATTCACAAAGAATGTAGGTTTTTTCTAAGTAAAAAAAAAATTGGTAATATTTATTTTTTAGATATCAATATACCCTACCCTAACCCTAACCCTAATAGGTTTTTTCTAAGTAAAAAAAAAATTGGTAATATTTATTTTTTAGATATCAATATTCTGGGTGGATAACCGGACAGTATGGTGGAGAACCCCCACCTTACAAAACAGCAAAGTGCTGTTGAGAAGAAATTAGTTCTTAATCAATGAATTATGATAATAATAAACTGTGTACTATAGAACCAATCAATTGTAGATAGACTATCACGTTTTGTATTATAATTTCACGGTAACAAAAGCTGTAAAAATATTYGTCTTTGTATGGTATGTGGATTTTGTTACAGTCATGGCACTTAACCCGTGTTAGAGAGAAGCCACGTGATGTACTTGTTTGAATAATTTTAGAGTACAAACACTAAAAGTGTGCAACATAAATACCACTAAATACTGCTAAATTATTCTAATAATATTGTTTTCTATTGTTCAGTTAGTACTATTTACAGTAAATAGTTCAAAGTGTTGCACATATTAAGTGTTTGTACCCTACTCAGCCAGCGATAGTTAACTAAATATTTCAAGGAAACAATGATTTTTGGTATTTTTTGCAGATTAGTTTGTCTAGCTGGATTGCAACCGGCCTCTCATATGTCTCACTGTTTTTGTTAATACAAGAGCATTCGGCCCAGTWMATATTTCTTGTAGAGAAACATTAAATAATTTAACAGGTTAAGAGCCATGACTTAGTGTTGTATAGGGAGTTTTTATTGTGAATTATCATCATATAAATAAAGATATACTTTGAGTACATGTTTGCAGAAATCTTGTGGACTTCTGATGCTTGTTGATTTGATTAATTGTTTTTTGGCAAATTTGAAGAGCGCGTTCGAATTCAATCTCTCTGCCCTCGTGAAACCCCTTTCAAAGTCTTGTGGATGTTTCTATATTCCATACTGAACGTCGTTCTGTGGGAACCAACTCCTCATCGAGACTGAGCTGCTAAAGGCTGARTTACTTGTTTTTCCATCAAAACCCTTGTTGCTCAATAGGCCATTTGTCCAAGCTTCCTGCTTGGTGCCCATTGGCTGAAGATCACGTGATATTTTAGGTGTGTCGTCTATGTTGATTTCTGGGATATCTTCTTGGATTGTGTTGTCGTGAAGGGTAGATGGGGTGCTGACTTGAGTGTCTTGTCGTGGTGTCGTTAATTCTGTCATACTTGTCATTGTACTATCGTTACGATGTCGGGAATATCGTCTAAGATCACCTTTCTGTAAGTGTATTTTATTCTTATATCGATGTATCATGAAGACGGCTGCTAATGATCCAATAATCAGACAGAATATGAAGGTACAGACAACAGAGACACCAATGGCTGTTGATACCTGACTACTGACTGCGGGATCAGAAGGACTTGTAGTATCTGAAATCCAAAGATCAGAAAAACATTGTAGATGTCAGTCCACTAGATAAGAACACCTACAGACCCCTTAATGTTAAACTAAGAGAGGTATATATTAAAAATCTGAAGCAAATAAGCAAATGACCATCCATGTAAATAATGTATATAGCTATTTCAAAAAAGGTTGTCGGATAAAATGGCGAATGTCAATGGTYGAACGGCGATTGCACGACCGAAAGTAGCCATGGGTTTTGCTAGTTGAAAGGCAATAACAACTGATTTGTACTGTAAGATGGTCTGGGGTAAACATTGGCTCCATTTAGTTTCCATTTCTATGCAAGGTGACTCCAATAAGTGAAATTTTGTTTATCAAAACAGTAGCTAACAGTGTAACTATAGTCCCTTTCGGTCGTGCAATCTCCCTTCGACAATCGCCGTTYTCCCCGACAAAGTTTTTTGAAATAGCTGTATATCCGGTAATATAGTGCCAATTGTATGTGAGTCGACGAAAAAACTGAGGAATTCTATCGATTTCACCTGAATCAAATGGCGTTACATTATTTATAGATTTATAGATTTATAGCTAAAATGACTAGTTATGGCAACACAGAAGTTATGCAGGGTTCCAAGTAATGCTGTTGTGTTAGGTTGTTTCGGGTATAGTAATAGTGTTAGCACCCCATTTACGTTGAATATTGACATTTCTCTTACCAATAGTGCTAGTGTTTCCTGGGCTTCTAGAAGTGGATACTGTTAGACCAGGAATAGTAACCATCAAAGTCTGATTGGCATGATAACCAATTCTCGCCACATTACTTACACCGTTCTTCGCCAGAACTGTMACACTGTAACTTACTAATGAGGACACGTCAAACATAGTCACGTGAGTCCCAGTAAGATTCGYATTGGCTGGCCAAAATGTGACGCCAGTACATTTATCAGCGCAAAGTCCAGAGCTGCATTGTCTACAAGAGACATCATATGTGACGTCATTACGCCCGCCATTGTTCTTGGGAGGAGACCACATCACTATAGTAACGCTAGGTGACGCCATTGTTGTTTTCAGTTCTCTTGGTGCGCTTGGGGGAGCTATATACAAGATATTATTAGTTAACATCACAGTTTGGGCTACCTTTGTACTTTCCTAGATTACACAGGTAGTCCAGGTTTAAAGTACAACATTACCTGAGCATGAAACGTTCTGTAGTTCGTTAACTGTCCTGTAGTACCCAGGTTCACATGGGCATTGGTCACGTGATACCGATGAGCTTGAATGACTTGGACATGGTGTACAGGCGTGGTTGCTAAGGGAGGGTTTATGTTTTCCATTTGAACACCCTGACAGATTTAAAAGTATTAAACTATTGATTCATGATCAGAATCTTTATTATTCTAGTGCTGATTGTTTTCACTTACTTTGACATTTCTCATTAACCATTTCGAACCCCGGGTCACACAGACAAACAATGCTATTGTCTTTCCTCCAATCACCATTCGACAAACAACTTGCTTCAAGTATCGCTTTAGCAGATAACTGCGAAGAAGCGTGACTCAGACAACTTCCTGTCACGGTAACTTCCTTGTCATGTAATGCTGGTGCAAACGTTTTATTGAACGTTACGCCATTGGACTCTACGGACGGACAGTACTTATATTTGACGCTAATTTCTTTAATGGCAACACACGAGCCGATGTCTTGGAATGCAATATAGATGTTCTTCTTTGAAAGCACTTGCGTGACGTTAATAACATTATCTTGCACAGATTGGGCACTTGTCCACGTCGATTTGGCTGATGCGTTACCAACAAATGTAAAATTTTGGTCGGTTATCGTTTGTTCACTGACGTCACCTTCAGTTCCATCGGTTTGTAACGCAAATATTTTAAAATATGTCACGCAATATGGATAACTCGGAGGACACTCTCTGGTCGTGAAAGTGAGGCTGATAGTGATCTCTTTGGCTCCATTTGATTGGATGATGTCAGAGACTAKCCAGCTGTCTGTGTKATTGGTCTTTGTTGATGCAATGTCACATACAACGTAACTTCCGGTTCCTCCCTCACGTGACCACTAATAGAGGAAAAGGATATTGAGTTAGTATTGTATAGTGAAGTATATTATGGGCTGGAATTCATTGTTAACGAACATAGCAATAATCCGTGATACTGGGTATTAGAGCGGATTTCGTATGAGTGGGAAACGAACGGTACTGTACTGTGACCGTAATTGTACTGATAACCAAATTCTAGTGCCCCATTGGTTCACAAAAATTGTGCAGGCCAGGTCCGGTAACTCAGTGTGCAGTAACCGTGCGGTAACGGTGTCCCACTCATGCGAAATCCGCTSTAACTGCATTTGGATGGAGGTCCAGTGATTGTGTCATCAGTGAAACTGATATGTCTGATATGTGTAGACGGAGAGGGCGAGTTCCCACTGTAACCTGACCTAGTGATCGCAGTCTCTTCACTGCACCTCATTTTTAAACTGTGCGACCTTGAATAAACATAGGCTGCATAGTGCAGCTTAGCTGTACATGACTGACACTTAGTGATGCTCTAAAGGCACCTAACCCTAGGGTGATAAAATATATCCATAACCCTASTCAAAGGAAGGCTTTTATCCGACATATGCCTAGTATATGCAGTGCCAGTTGGCTGCCTTCTTATTGCACTTGTTAAGTAACAAGTAGAGACTGCATTCTCAAGTAGAAATGATATTCGATGCTTCTATGATGATAACAATTTATAACTAATTKAATTCTTTTTGTCATGATGTTTATGGATGCTCGGCTTCTTCTATCTGTCAGTAATACCTTCAGCTGTCAATCATCACCATGACAACAAGTTTCAAAGATTTCTGTTGAGTKTTCGTGAGTACTTTTGGCGCTGGTACTTAAGCCTTTTCATTGCCTGRAATTATACTTAGTAGGGGCTCTGAACCAGACATTCACGAAATACCAAGATATACAAACACAACGTCAGTTTCAAGCGAGAAAATGTACAAACATGTCCAATTATCAAGAATTATTGATCGTGTTTATTGAGTTCAAGTTCATAATCATATTTGACTGTAATTTGATTTCACTTTTAGATAGATTCCAGTAGGTCGTCGTGGAAAGAAATAAAGCTTTTTTTAAGTGATCCTTTTTTGCCTGTTTTTGCATGAGTTCAGTTTTAATAATCTAAGATAGGTTTCGCACCAGCATTCAAATTGCAAGTGATAGTTACAAATGCTATTAAAATTAGTTTTATGTAAATTTTACTTTTTAAACATCAAATTTCATAACTTACCCCTGTGCCTGACCGAAACTTGTAAACTGTTAGCCATTGCCACGAAGAATCACTTTGACTCTTTTCAAATAAAATACCTGAAAACCAACAAAACCRCATCGTAATTTTATATGAAAAGAAAATTAACCCTTTCAACGTAAAACTTATTAAAAGAGTAATGGATTTTTACCTGTGGCGCAACTTGAAACTTGCACAAGTTGAGCAGTTACAATTAAATGAACGATAAAWCTGTAGTATTTCAAGCACAAATTCATGGATTCAAACTASTAAAGATTCGGGTAATCTTTCTTCCTGACCAACGATTAACTGATCAATACTGTCTTTGTGAACAACCTTTCAATATAAGTGAACGGTAACCTTCATTTTATGGCGATTATTAAGACGTTTTGGTAATCCTTTTGATCCTTAGTTTGTCATTCTGACAAGCACTTTGACAAAAACGTTTTGTTGAGCGTTCCACGTCACTCGGTCAATAAACCATCGCATTTGGCAGTGATTCTCATCTCACTAAGTTTACATAAGGTGTTGAGGACATCGTACGCATGTCAGACCTGACAATGTGAGTACAGGCTAAGTTTAAGGCGACTATATTATCGACACCTTCAGTCGCATCAAAAATTATAGCTTATTAATTCTAGTACGTGGTGTGTTTCCAGTGATTTTTCTTAAGCCTTTAGTCGTTTTTTAGATCTCTTGGGAGTTAGATGAAAATGAATTTAACTAAAAAGATTGATAATATTAAACCAATAAGTGTGTCCAATAGTGAGTCTTGGTTACATCTATCAGAAAGTTCAGCTCTGTACTATTTTAGTAGTTTTTTAGTCAATTTCATGTTCCATGTTGGTGTACCAGTGCTAGTATAATAAGCCATTGTTATTGATTATCTGTTAAAACCAATAATTATGCTTCACTGACTTGTCACGTTTAATTGACCGATGCTTGATGAACGAGTTATTTATATCACTTAAATATTTGTTGTCACCATGACTTGGTTGTCAGATAAATAAATATAACCTGATCTTTGGTTTGTGGAAAGAACTTTGAACTAATYCTGCGACATTGTCTTCGCCATGTTGTTGTTTACGTCCAGGTAATTGTTATATTGCAGYAYGGTATTGTCCAAAACACGATGTGTCAGTGTGTAGAAGGTGTTTCTTTCTTCTCCAGTGGTGGTTGCTACGCAACYATGAGGCTTTTAAAAAGCGTCATGACCAATGTATGACATCATATCACAATTCTTGACGTCAAAACCCTTTTATATGACTGAAGTACCAGCTTCACGAAGATTAGTTTTACAAACTAGCATTCAATCTCTTTATTATAAAAAAATATTTTTCCTTAGAAGCACTCACGGAGAAGCGTCAGTTAATGCGAGAACTAGAGCGGATTTCGTATGAGTGGGACACCGTTACCGCACGGTTACCGCACAGTTACCGCACCTGGCCTGCACAATTTTGGCGAACCAATGGGGCACTAGAATTTGGTTACAGTACGATTACGTTCACAGTACAGTGCCGTCCGTTTCCCACTCATACGAAATCCGCTCTAGCCCTTACGGGACATAACGCAGATAAAAGGTTCCACTAGCTGGACTGCACTTTGATGCAGCGTTTACCATTCTAAGCACATTTAGCAGTAAAGTAGGGAAGGTGTCTGTGAACAGGAAGAGGCAATCCTGCTGCCATGGCCCACTATCCATTTCTTTCTCCCCAAGCCTCCTCCTAGAGGAAATCCATTGCTAGTTACCAATAGTTACCAGAACGCGATTTGTGACTCTTGTGCTCTGTCACGTTAACGTAAAGAACCCCTGCACTCAATGAGTGCATAAGAATAGTTAGCAGAATACATTATTGTGAGTGACATATAGTAGTAGACAAGAGGAAATAGCGATGCTCTAACTACGCGAGTACTTGCTTCAGAAACAGGACTTTTAAAAGCACTACAAACCTCATGATTCACTTCACGGTTTCTTTTTGACAGTTTAACTTTGAGATGAGGTTCTTATGCTAAGTTTTACGGAAAACCTGGATTATAGCAGGCTCTTGTAATAATGATATAAAAGTACCCATCAACGACCTTACTGTAACGTGAAGAACTGATACTTAAGCAGCAAACCTCAAAGCATTGGCTATAATAGCTATACCTTGTGTARCGTGTAGAAAACCCTTGGGAACAGCCTCTACCGAGAACCGGGTACGGGAAACTTTAAGATCAACCCTCGCGAGTCCAGGAAGAATGYCATGATAATTAGTCCCGGAGCACCCGTCGCCGGCCGTAAAGATYGAAATCCTGTCTTTGTAGGAAAAAACACCCCGCCTCATTGCACATGTAATGGTAGTATGATGAGAAATAGCACATACCATTATTCGAGCTTCTATAAGGCATGAAATATTGGTCTGTCAGCAACGAAAGGCATAAACTTGATGAAATAAATAAGAAGTAATGAGAAATGGTACCATCTTGGATCTTCTTATTGCATGGTCAAGAGTTCTTGAGAACTAATCTCGTTTAAAAGAAATGCGTCGTAAATCTTTTTTCCATTGACGGTAATCTGCGCGTGAATTAATGATGCATGGTTTCTTATAACGCGAATACCAAAGAAGCATTCATCGTCGTTTAACACACATTATATAACTAAGTCAATACAATTGAGGGGTGTACAGTGTTGCGTCATCAAAGTAACACAAAAATGTCAACATATTTGAAAAACCAAGTCAGTCATAAAACCTTCTAGAACAGATCATCGCGGAAGAAAGGTACAATAGTGACTGTTCGCGCAATTTGGTTACGAGCCCTTGATCATCACTATCGGATTACTTATCGATGTCAGTAGACACGTTTTAACAATCAATTAACGATCATTGCTTCTCGAATGCACCAATATTGGATCCCTGGCTGTACCTTACTCAATGGATCAAGAAGAATGACAGTCATGTTAATGCAAACACTCTTAAAGGCTTAGTTTACTCAGCTGCTACAAGTTCGTTCGTTTGTGAAGAGAAAATAACCCTTCAATCTTGAATTGATTTTAAATGGSTGCAATCATCCTCCACAAGTTTACTCTGTTCGTTTTTGTCATTTTACTACGTAATTTCCTGGCAGATGAAGGTAATGATTTCAGTTTTCTGTCATTCTTGAAATGTGTYCAGTAAAAGTGTTTGTTGTGTGCTCTTCTAGATGTACTAGTGAGCTATGTGAACAAGGATGCATCGTGGCAGTGGGTCACCATGTACAGACTTGGATCTGGAAGTGGGGTAAATATCGAATTATCTCGTACGCCCTGTGTGTGTGAAGCTAATAGTTATTAACCTTGATTATTAATGGTGTAAATACGAGATTTATCCTTTTAACATTGCGATTTGTCAACTGTGAATAACTGSATGAAACAGGTTTCGTTTGAAYCATGGAGTTGAAGAGTCTTGTGAATATATTTCGTGAAAAAAAAGAATACATACAAATCTGTGTACGATCTTTTGAGAGATCTCGAGGAAACCTCTATTGTTGCTCGAGGAAACTATCATTGCTAACGTTTAATGCTAATTTTTAATTTGTAAAAGTCTGCTAATTGGACAAGTTTTATTTTAATAAAAAGCGCAGATTTTAAAGGGATTTGAAGTAATTCTTGCAGCATGCTTTAAGAGTCTTGATTAGTTCCCAGGGTACTKTAACTTGTTTTATAAGATACGCTTTTTGGAAGGTGTTTACCGACCGCAACCACTGAAAACAGAATTACAAAAAAAAAACAATCAATATTACTTTTGGAAACCATTTTACTTTAGATATAGTTTAATGATTGCATTAGCTCTTGTGTTCTGAAGTTGTATCTTCTTTGTCACATTGTTTATTAATAACCTTTTACAAAAGGCATAACTTCTCCAACAATTCCATACACTTAAAAGGAAGACAATAGGTGCTCAACATTATAGAAGTACCACACAATCTATGAAAACATCTTCAAATTGTGTGATCAACAAAGACAAACGTTTTTTTGAATTTGATCGAAAAGAATAACGCTCTCTTGACGTGCTTTCATGTACAAACTTATTATCTGTCTTAGAACAATGTTAGTAATGTACTCGTAATTTCTTGTGAATGACGGATGATATTGATTGCAGTAAAGATTTATTAGTGTTTAACTACATTGTAAAAGATGTAACCCAAGTTGGAGTAACAGCAGTGCTCTTAATTGGAACTTCACTGAACTATTCTTAATTTGAACTTAAACTTCRTTATTCCYAGCACRCGCCCTCGACAACACTGRCTCGTGTAGTATTCAGCCAATGTAAACGCAAAATATTTGCGGAGTTTGGCACATGTGGACGCGTTCTTGCGTGCACTTATTTGATTTATTGGGAAACTGCTTAAAAAGGCATTTAATTAAATGATGCCGTTTTAGACTCGCTTTGGTGCTTATTGCAGTTCGCGCTTATAAAAMKATTTTGAAATGCACTCATCAATAAAAGTTTAATTTGTTCAAAGTGCTTTGTATATTWAAAGTCCTTTGTGTTCTTTGTTTAAGTGGCAAAGGGATTCGTCTTCAGGAAGCTACACAACATGTGACCTGATTTCCACCAAGATAAATAGTACAAACAGTTGGCTGGTGTCCGATTTCATCACATTGAACAATGCTAAAACTGTGACACTATCCTTAACATTTACAGCAAGGAAATGYGATCTCGGTAATTTTCCATTTTGTAAACAATCCATTGGTATCTATAGCAATGAAAACGACGTCAGCAAAGTAGGTGGTGTTGGCATGGAAACAATTCTGGCTGGCAATTTCACTTTTGTTGGCAACATGACCGCTGAGAATGTATGGTCATCGGGAGAATCACCTCAAGACAACCTGATGAATATAACTTTTGGTGTTAAAAGCAAAGGAGTTTATGTTGCGTTCAGAGACACTGGAGCATGCGTAGCTGTAACCGCTGTCAGAATGACTTCTTTGTACTGTCCAAACATGGTATCAGGTGGTGCAGTGTTCAATAGGACGGGAGTGACTTTACCTGGACACGTCAATAAGGTACCGAGCACATTGGTTGTTGTAATGTCTGTAATGATGGTTGTTGCATATCYAGTAGTTATTCCTTAAAGATGCAACAAGCCATATATACCAACGGGCATCATTTCTAGTCACAAAAACTCTTTGCACCACTTGTGAAGATAATTGGTGTACTTATATGCAGGTCAAAGGAGAATGCCTTGCAATGTCTGAAAACCTGGCCAATGCAACCAAATTGTTTCTTCGTTGTCTCMGCAATGGATCATGGAGTAATGATCTCCAAGTGGCATGTCAATGTAAATCTGGTTATCAACCTGGTCAGAGCACTTGCCAAGGTATGATGATAATGATGATAATTAATGATGATAATATTGATGACTGATGATAATAATTTTTTATTGCTGCTCAGGCTGTCCACCAGGTTTATACAAACCATCAACTGGAAATACCATGTGCATACCCTGTCCAGAAAACACCCACACTAGCGTGGCAAGGAACGAGTGTATTTGCAACCAAGGTTTTTACCGGTCAGCAATGGATGAACAAGATGGAAAATGTACAGGTAAACAATACTGGAATYATATCAATGCATGAATGACATGGGATACAATTCACTGGCGCTGATTCAAAGTGCACATGATAAGCCTTTTTAAAACAACTTATCTTTATCTGATAGGCTGCTAAGTATTATTTTGTTGCACAAAAATGATTTTGAATTGTATTTTCTAAGTTATTTGCATTTGAAAAATAAAAGGAAAATGAAGTGACGTCAACTAAGGAATTTAGCTATATTTGCATTGATTTGTGTTTGGTTGACGTTGCCAAATCATCAATCATGATCATCAATGTTAAAAAATGTAATTCCCTATGAAACAAGAAGGTTTCAGGTATGAAATGATTCCTTATAGYTGATCTCATTTGCAAACTCTTAAAGTATAGTTAAGTCAATATTGTCTCCAAATGAAAGTTCTGTAAAAAATTGATATTGAAAGTTTGCTTTTTAAATGATAGGACCACCTTCGGGTGCACGTGACCTTACATCCATGCTGATTGGTCAGGATGTGATACTACTATCATGGAAAAGACCGCTGCATGATGGCGGGCGCAACGATGTTATTTATTCTATATCATGCTTCCGCTGTAACCATAGCAACATACACATCAATGTGTCCTGTAGCTTCCTTTGTGGTAGTTCGATAAAATACAATCCTTCCTCCAATGGGCTGTCTTTGACGCACGTGATCATAAGTGGCTTGGTTCCAGGCTCTTTGTATTCTTTCAAGGTGTTGTCTAAAAATGGCGTGAGTGATCTGGTTAGGAACACCTCTTTCGATTTACCAGAGGTTCGAACAGTCATCCCATTGCCAGGTATGCTGACTATTGGTTTTCGTGGGTTTCTTATGATGACTTGCTCGACCTGACTATAAAAGACATTCTAGTAGTGGAGAAAATAAACTTAACAAGGGAAGGGAGAGAAGGGACGTCTATACCTTTCTTCTCTTCCTACCCTAAACACRWTATAGTATAGATTGYTGCTCTGATGCAACATGACCATCAAATTGTGTTGTTGCTCATTCCTTTTCATTTTATATTTTTAACAGATCCTCCAAAAATATTGACATCTTTCTTAGGAGAAGATGCGGCAGTCCTTTCGTTATCAGAAGTCAAACAACTCTCTAGTTTTGCTTATTCTCTCTCATGTCATATATGTGAAGCTYCCGATTGCGTTGCATGTCAAACATCTTGTGGAAACACCATCAAGTACAGCCCAGAAAAAAATTTTACATATAAAACATATACAGTTGTTTCCAGTTTGACACATCACACTCACTATCAGTTTACACTAGAAGTGACAGAACGCGAGAGTGGTAAACTAAAAAGAGTTTCAGCAACTTGCCTTTCCACCAAACGAAAAAGTACAGCAAGCCCAACAACAAAAGGTTATTTTACATCTTTTAATATAAATCAAATAATCATTATTAATCATAACTTTATGGCCGATTTTTGGCCAAGAGCATGGGCTATAGCCCACCAAAATGACCAAAAATGGACGATTTTTGACCAAAAAGYATGKGCTATAGCCCACCAAAACGACCAAAAATGGCCGATTTTTGACCAAAACGACCAAAAATGGCCGATTTTTCATCAAAAAGCATGGGCTATAGCCCACCAAAAGGACCAAAAATGGCCGATTTTTGACCAAAAAGCATAGGCTCTAGCCCACCAAAACGATTAAAAATGGCCGATTTTTGACCAAAAAGCATGGGCTATAGCCCACCAAAATGACCAAAAATGGCCGATTTTTGACCAAAAAGCATGGGCTATAGCCCACCAAAATGACCAAAAATGGCCGATTTTTGACCAAAAAGCAGCCCACCAAAACTATAGCCCACTAAAATGTACAAATGACTGAGTTTGACCCCTAATCAACAATTTTTGAAAACAATCCAGAGATTTTCGAGCTCCAAAATGATTTGAAATTATCAAAAATGCTCCAGCTAATGGCCACAGTGAGCAGGAGGGACTGACACTATAATGGATTGATTGATTTTGATCTCAATTTTCAGCATCCACCAGAAAAGAAGACATGATCACACTGTACTCCAAGGTTGCATTTGGATTGTCTG